TGCTTCAGCATTTTTTTTTCATTTATTTATTTTGGTTTAGTTGAAAATTGACTCATAAAAAGAGAACACTAATATGGTTGTTATTTAGTTTAATTTATTTTTTTATATTTCCTTTGTTTGGCCTTTTTTGTGGTTGTTTTTTTTTTGTTTGTTTTGATTGCTGAATACGTGTTTGAAACAGTTTTTTTTTTTGGTTTTTGTTTTGGTTTATTTCCTCTTGCTCTGTTTTATACATAAATATTCTTTCCTGTTTGTGTATATATAGTTGTAGGAGTTTTAATATTTTTTTGTTTTAACAAACATCTATGGAATAGTTAGTTGTCTAAAGTTAGTTTTGATTTGAGTTTTGTTAAGTTTTTTTTTCTGTTTTGTTTTTGTTTTACCAATTGGCCCAAATATTTCCCCTCTAGTCGTTGCTCCAAACGTTGGCAATCAATCTACCAATAAATTGTGTTTTGATTTGAGTTTTATCAATATATAAAGTAATTAATTTCATATAAATATATATCTGATTTTTTCTATATATAAATATATATTTTTTTGTATTTGTTTTTATTTATTAAATTCAACATTTAGTTTTCAGTTACATTGTTCATTACACTAGACAACAAAAATTTGACTTTTTTTTGGTGTAGAATAGCTAATGAAGTTTTGTGGTCTATCTATAGAACTTGTTTTAAAGGTAATCTGAAAACAAAGGAGTTAAAATAGTTAAATCAGAAAAAGGGCCTTTCTTGGAAAATCTGTCAGAGTTGTTCAACTCTGATCAATTAAAGTACTTTAGCAAAGATTCCTAACTTTCCTAAACTTGGCTTACAACAAAAATGGTCGTTTATTCATAAAATAGCCTTGGGAGAATTTGGGTATAGATGGGCCTATGCATTCTTGAGCTTGTGAGAGTTTAAAATTTTCGATCATTTTTAATTGTCGAACTACAAATGAAATTAAAAGAAGACATTATTGCGATTTGCAACTAAAATGGTTAAAAATATATCTTAAGAAGGTATAGAATATGTAAAAAACCTCGCTTTGTTTGTTTGCTAGGAAATCCTTTAAAATGTAGTTCTTTAACATAGGAACGTTATTCAAAATTCCGACTATCAAAAATTATTGATTAATATGAACGTCGTGCAGTGACTCATCATTTGATTTATTAGTCAATTTCTCTTTTTATTTAGGTAATAATATCTTACATTATTTTTTGGAAATTTAAATGGATTTAGCCAAATTTTAAGATTAGCTTGGCAAAAAATGTGATCGCAAGCGAGCCTTCTTCTGTGTGTGGAATGGGTGACAGTGTAGAATCAAAGAAGAGGAACACAAGAAACAAGGGACCCGTGGATTAAAAAATTACACTATCTATGGGTTCTTGCTACAGATTAGTTTTGTTTCATTTGCTGCGGTTAAGAAATTAATTTGGAGCGAATTTAGTTCCGATTCTTAAATGGGCAAAGCATGCTATCTCTTATTCAAGCGACATTGAAAAATAGAGTATGCTCATTTTTTCCGGGGAGTGCTCCCGCTCGATTTTTTTTATGATTGCTTTGAATTAAAATATCCTTAATACCAGTCTTGCGATTTAAAAAAAAAAAAATGAGGTCATAACACCACTTGGCGTTATAATAACTTTTTTATATTTTTTGCTTCATATTTTAGATTTTATTCTAAGAGTTCAAAAAATTTAATAATTGCTTAAAAACGACTTATTACATTTTTCCGATGTTCGCAATAAAATGACAAAAAAATATGAAATAAGAATATAAAAAAATTTTGAATTATTTAATGCTGTTCAAAATGTTAACACAAAATTGTATGTATAATTTTCCAGGCAAATTGAAACTATTTTGCAAAAGTTTTGGGTTTGATCGGGTATATAAGAGATGAAAAAGACACTCACAGCTCGTGAATATCCCCTTTTATATAGTATCTGAGATGTGCAAAATTTGAAGACATTCCGACTTTTTGTAAGAGTAATCATAATTTTAATGTTTTGTGAAAATGATACTGATGGGAGTGGGCCAATATCGGATATTTTTTCCCCTTTTATGAGATAAATCATTTTCATTCAAAATTGAAACCTTATGGGGGATGATATAAAAGTATTGAACCGATATTGCCACCTCGTTCAAAGTTTGGTAAAAATATTATGATGTACCTAGTTTGGATAACATCGAATACTCCCACCGGAATTTATCTTGCGCTCCATGTCAGCGAAACAAGTCACCGATTATCCTAAGAGATCTCATGCGAATATGTAATTTTTCATTCCTCCTTTCCTTTTCATTTCATTCCTTCCGATTCCTCCCGTACAAGTGTCCACAAGGGGTTAACTTTTATTAATTATAAGTCTCATAGCCGTTACACAATACTTCCACACATGCATGTATCTAGTGGAAATATGGAACTCATCGGCCCAATTCTCCTGGTATATCCCCCATAAGGGGTCAAAATTTGGAATAATTGTAACTCTCATAACATAAAGTGAGTCTTTTTAAACTTGGTGCATCTCATTTCTATCCACCATAGATATAATATAAATATGAAATACGTCGGTCTTCATCTTCTTGTACCTTCCCCTCAAAATATCAAAATTTTGATTATTAACCGCATAAAATGGACAAGAACAAACTTTTTTCAAAATACAGGGTATGATGAAGTAACTGCAACCAATTTCAGGCTACTCGTCCTTGTTTACAAGCGTACAGAAGCATTTTGGTGAAAATTGTCCAGAAAAAAGTTATTCGTGATGGAATTTAAGCGTGATAGTGTGCTTTTTTATATTTGGCTGGTTATCGTTAGAGCACTCCAGCATTTAAATGTGAATAAATCTTTTGTGTCTCATACAATCGCTCGTTACCGTGATACTGGTAGCGTATCCCGGCGTCAAGGGAGTGGACGGAAGAAAACAGCAACATTAGCAGAAATGGTTCGAAATGGTTTGATCGAAACCCCCGTTGCAGTGGCCGAAAAATGGCTCGTAAACTGAAAGTTGAAAAATAGACTCAAAAGAGCTAAAGAGTTGCATCGCTTGGCCGAAAGTGGTGAACTGCCGAATTTGGGTTTCTTCGATGAGAAAACATTCGTTGTCCAGCAGTTTGTAAACAAACAAAATGATCGTCAGTTGAAAATGTGCACCTACGATTGAATACCAGATCTTAAGCGCCGGCCATGGTGATGGTGTGGGCCGCCATAACAGCCGATTGTCGCTCTCTACTCGCATTAATCAACGCGAAAATATTCTGTAGGGAGTATTAAAGCCTTGGGCACGCAAACATTTTGGTCTCAGACCTTGGACATTTCAACAGGTCTCAGAACTATCGCACTTAGCATAAATGAGGTTCCTCGTTTCATTTCCAGCGCACAATGGCCACCAATATCTCGAGATACCAATCCGTTGGACTATTGTGTCTGGAGTATTTTGGAGAGCAAGGTTGGCACTAAAAAAATACCAAAGTGTCGATCACTTCAAGCAAGCGCTTCGCCAAAATACCTCAGAGCAACATTCGGGCAGCGTTTGACGGTTTCATTGACCGTTTGTAGGCCATAATTAGTGCCAAAGGTGACCAATTCGAATCCAAATCCAAACTTATTCTAAAATTTGATGCTATTTTCGACATTTTTTGCTTTCATTCAATAAAAAATGTAAATATTACGACTGTAATTACTCGATATTTGTTCTTCTCGCAACGCATTACTACTACAACAGTAGGTCTAGCGTAAATATGTAACTTATCGGACCAGTCATCTATCACGGACTTTTTAAAAATATTTCCAAGTATTGTGAATTAAAAAAATGTAGAATCGATTATTTAAAAATGTTGATTTTTTTTAAACACTGAAAAAAGTTTTTAAATATATATCGAAAATTGTCAGTTAAAAAAACTGCTTTCAAAAATTGTGTGTTTTCTAATCTGATTGTAATAAGAAAATTATAATGAAAAACTGATTACTTTCTGCGTTCTGCATTATGTTTTGAGTGCACTTGTAATAAAGAAGGTCTGTTTTTTCAAAAATACCCACTACAATTCCGCACCAATTAAGTAGTTATTTTTGGTCGATTACTTGTTTAACCGTCTTAAGTGGCCAGAAAATAGCCACCTATTTTGTGCGACGTACCTGGGTTGGTATCCCGGTTCGTCATAAGAATTTTTTGAGGGTAGTATCGAAAGGTCTAATGAGTATACCCGCACACTTACAGTTTTTATTTATATTTCCTATTAATGTTCCATAAATTTCAGTTTTAAGTATTTTAAAGATCTCGGCAGCATTTTATATTGTGTAGACCGCATAATTTTGAAACTCATTTAACCACAAACATGCATTTTTAGAAACCCACTAAAAGGATCACAGTTTGGTTAATTAGACATTTTTAATAAGGGCTGGGATCTTGGCTTCTCAGCATTATTGCAAATTTTTCTTTTTTCTTTTTTTTTTTAATAATAATAAAATAATAATTGCTTTTAAAGGAATGGTGCTAAATTAATGTGTGGGTTTTAAGTACAAGATTTATTTATTTATTTTTTTTGTCAGGGCAAATAAACTAAATTTTTTTATAAAGGAAATGTTCAGCAATTTTTTTTTTTATTTTCAAATATTTATTTTTATATTTCAACATACACTACAAAACTTCATTAGCTATGTCTGGACAAAACTTTTTTTGCAGTATAGTGTTTTTTTCTTTATTGCTTTTCCATCAATTGACAAAATTGAAAAAGTACATTTGTTGTATATAGATTTGCATTTAGTTAGTATTCAATTAACAGTTATGTTTTCATTTTAGTTGATGTTTTTTTAAGAAAGAAAAAAGAAAAGAATTAAAATAAAAAGAAAAAACAATTATATATATTCTTCAATAGTTTATTTTCAAATATAACATTATTATAATTCTGTGTTGGTTTTTTTTTAATTTTTTTTTGGATTTTTTATATTATTCTTCCTCTTGGGTATTGCATCATTATATCATTGTTGAATTGAATTAATTGTTTTTTGGTGTTGGTATATTTTTTTTTTGTTTTTTGTTTTCATTATTTTAATTGAAGCCTATCACACGTTCGATTAATTTTGTTAAAATGAGGTTTTGCCAAAAATGAAATTTCCTGGTGCATTGGTATCCTCGGCAGCAAAGTATTCCTTCCACAAGGCAGCGAATTGTTCACGTGTTACTTCAGACTGGCCCTGGGCCATTTTGGCGAATGCCTCTTCGCATTCCTTCTTCTCCAGGCCGTAGCTGGAGCAGACCAAGGCGAATTCGTTGACATCAATGCTGCCATCCGTGGAGGCATCTTCCAAATCGAACATGAAATTCATGTACTTGTTTTGCCAGTCCATAACGGTGCTGGGGTCCTTGGCATAGGCGTCCCACATGTTGCACCACTCGTCGACGGAGACCTGGAAGGAAAAAAGAGGAGAAGGGGGAAATGTTAGTAAGAATTTGAGTGGGTATTTTCTTATAGAATATTTTGATAGAATTGATTGATAGAATTCGATATTGAAAAGCAAAGTATCAACATTCAGAGATTGTGAAGTGACAACTGTTATAAAGAGAAGAATTGCCAAATGGAAAAATTTATAAGAAAACAAGTAAAAAAGCAGCTAAGTTCGGCCGGGCCGAATTTTTATTACCTCCACCGTTTGGAAGCAACTTGAAAAAATTCAAAAAACTTCCGGAAACTACCACTTAAATGAAAACTTTTTCATGGAGACGTGGACCTGCTTACGAAATTTTTTGCCATAAGTTTTCGTACCCATTAGGAGCATCAAATACGAAATTTTGAATAATTCTGGTAAATTTGAAACAATTTCAGTGATTAATGTCGCTGAAATCGTCATAATGCCGAATATCGGGATGTTCCCTTATATGGGTATAAGTACATAGGCTGTAGTACTTATTACGAACTTCAAATACGAAATTTGTTACGATTCCGGTGAATAATGTCGCAAAATTCTTGAAAATAAGAAGACGTGGACCTGTATACGAATTTTTTTGCCATAGTTTGTAGTACCCCTTAAGATCTTCCAACACAAAATTTGAAACGATTCCGGTAAATAATGTTGCTGAAATCATCAAAATACCGAATATCGGGAGGTACCGTTATATGGGGACTTTACGAAGATGTCATATGTTTTCGTACCCATTAGGAACATCAAATACGAAATTTTGAATAATTCAGGTAAATACTGTCGCTGAAATCATGAAAATACCGAATGTCGGGAGGTACGGTTATATGGGGGCGAAAAAGTGGACCGACAAAGCCCATTTACGAACTTAAGCTGCCTACTGGAACACTATGCATGTATGCAAGTGGACATCGCTAGATCGTTCTAGAATTTTACGCTGATCCGGTATATGTATACATTGCAGGGTCTATTATAAATATGACAAAGTAAATATACCCTCCATAGAAAGGTGGAGGGTATAACAATTTTCTCATTTTATATGTTCATAGAAAAATAATTCAGTTCCAGATTATTTGTTGATAATCTACTCATTTCAGGGCTGACACAATTCAGAGACATGACTCGTTTCACATTTTTTATGTCAAGCTAACATTTAATTTAGTCCCATGCGAATTTTCAATTTTTGCCCCCGTTTCCAAAATCAATTGAGTATTCTGCCCTATGGTATTTTTTTTAAATACCTTGCATATATTTTCTTTAATTATTTTCAATGAGCGGTAATGGTTTTTATCTCAACACACATATTTATTTATTTTTTTAATTTCCCTTATTGTGATTATTATTCATATCACCATCATCATCAACTACATTCGATTAACAATGGAAATGCCTGCAGATAATATATCACACCTTTATTATTATCTGCTTTTTATTTAAATATGCATGTGTGTGTAAAACACACACATACACACATCCACACAGAGATGACAATTATTAAATGAAGGTGAAATAATTTAAATATTCTGTAATTAATTTTGCAATTAAATTTAATTTTTTTCTGGGTCATGGCAGACATTTGAGAGATGAATGCCTGGCAATTTCAAACAAGGAATTTTTCAATATTTAAAAATATGTTATTTTAAAAAACCTTGGTATTTCAGTATTTGCATATATTAACGAAATTCTTGTTAAGCGACCGAAATTAATGAAATAGCCAGCCATGCCGGCGTATACATTATGACACCATTCATACGCCATCTGGGTAAGGTATTTTAGACTCCAAACTTTCATATTTCTAAATTATTTTTGATTCTTAAACTTTTTCCCCTAAATCTCCTACCGCACTTCTTTTTTTGGGTCATGGCCGATATTTGAGAGATGAATTCCAGGCAAATTTAAACAGAGATTTTTTCAATTTGTACTCGAATATTAGCATATGTTAAACGACCTAAATTAATGAATAGCCAGCAATGCCGGCGTATACATTATGTCACCATTCATACGCCACCTGGGTAAGGTATTCTAGACTCCAAACTTTCATATTTCAATGTTACTTTGGATTCTTTAACTTTTTTCCCCCAAAATCTCCTACCGCACTTCTCTGTTGGTTAATGGCAGATATTTTAGAGATGAATTCTAGGCAAATTTAAACCGAGAATTGTTCATATTTATA